AACTAAAAGAAGAAAGGAGAAGACCCAAATTAATAAAATCAGAAATGAAAAGGGGAATGTTACAAGAGGCACCAATGAAATTCAGAAGATCACACAGAAATACTTTAAAAACCTATACTTCAGCAACTGAAAAATGAGTAAATAAATAAATTTCTTGACACATATGACTCATCAAAATTGAACCAAGAGGTCTGCAAAAACAGAACTGTAGCAAGCAGTGAGATTGAGACAGTTATAAAGAACCTCCCAACCAAAAAAAGACAAGGTTCTGATAGACTCAACTAATACCAGTGCTCCTCAAATTATTTCAAAAAGTACAGAAGTTAGGAATACTCCCAAACTCATTCTAAGGAGCTAGTATTACCTAATACCAAAGCCAGATAAAGATACATCAGAAAAGAAAGTGATAGGTCAATATCCCTGATGAACATAGATTTGAAAATCCTCAGTAAAATATGTGTTAACAGAATCCAACAACACATTAAAAAGATCATACATCATGATCAAGTACTTTTTATTCCATGGTTGCAAGGATGGCACAATATATACAAAGCAAAAATGTAGTACAGCACATAAACCAGAATCAAGGACAAAAACCACCTTATCATATCAATAGATGCAGAAAAGGGCTTTGACCAAATTTAATATCCTCTTATGATAAAAACTCTGAAGAAACTAGGAATTGAGGGCACATGCCTCAGCATTTTAAAAGGCTATATATGACAAACCTATAACCCCTATCATACAAAATGGGAAAAAAAAAAACATTTCCTCTAAAATCAGGAATGAGGCAAGGGTTCAACTCAACCCACGCTTATTCAACATAGTACTGGAATTCCTAGCCAGAGCAATAAGACAGGAGAAAGAAATACAAAGGATTCAAATTAGGAAAGGAGGAAGGCAAATTATCCTTATTTACAGGTGATACAATCCTATACCTGAAAGATCCTAAATGCTCAACCAAAAACCTCTTAGATCTCATAAACACATTCAGCAAAGTAGCAGAATACAAAATTAATATGCAAAACCCAGTACCATTTCTATACACAATGACCAGCCTGAGAAAGAAATCAGGAAAATAATACCTTTCACTATAGCTTCAAAAAAATTGAAAACACCTAGGAATAAATTTAATGAAGGTAGCGACTGTCCTCTACAATGAATATTATAAATCACTGAAGAAAGAAATCATGGAAGACATTAGGAGATGGACATCCCATGTTCATAGATCAGCAGAATCAATATTGTGAAAATGGCTATACTCCCAAAAGCCATCTATATGTTCAGTCCCTATGAAAATTCCAATAACATTCTTCACTAAGACGGAAAAGCCAATCTTAAAGTTCACATAGAAGCACAGTAGACCTCAGATAGCCAAAGCAGTGCTGAGCCAAAAAAATCAATCCTGACTTCAAACTGTACTACAGAGCCTTAGTAATAAAAATAGCATGGTACTGGCACAAAAACAGACCTGAAGACCAACGGAGTAGAATTGAAGACCCTGCCACAAATCCACACAACTACAGCCATCTGACTTTCTCAAATGAGCCTGAAATACACATGAGAGAAAAGATAGCCTCTTTAACAAATGGTGCTGGGAAAACTGGATTTCCACCTGCAGAAGACTGAAACTAGATCCCAGTCTCTCACCTTGTTCTAGCATCAACTCAAAATGGACTCAGGATCTTAATGTAATATCTGAAACAGTGAAATTACTTAGGATAAAATAGGAAACACACTGAACCACACAGATACAGGTAATAACTGTGAATAGAACTCTAATAGCTCAGCAATTAAGAGAAAGCACTGACAAAGGGGACTGCATGAAATTACAAAGCTTCTGCACAGCAAAGGAAATGATCACCAGACTGAAGAGACAGCCCACAGAATGGGAGAAAAGCTTTCCAGTTTTACATGTGACCAGGGATCATAACCAGAATATAAAGAGAGCTCAAGAAAAACTAACATCTTAAAGAATCAACATCCCACTGAATAAATGGGCAAATGGACTGAACAGGCAGTTCTCAAAAGGAGAAGTCCAAATGACCAGTAAACCCATGAAGAAACGCCCCACATCTTGGCCAGAAAGGAAATGCAAGTCAAGGACACTGAGATTCCACCTCAGCTCAGTCAGAATGGCTGTCATCAACATCACACACAGGAAGTGCTGGCAGGATGCTGGGTGTAAAAGGAACACTTCTGCACTCTTAGTAGGAATGTAAATTAGTGCAATTGCTATGGAAAGCAGTATGGAGGTCCCTCAAAAATCTGAAATTAGAACTATCATGTGATCCAGTGATACCACTCGTGGGCATCTACTCAGAGGAAAGTGCTCCAGGACACGGTTGAGCCACTTGCACCTGCATGTTTACAGCAGCACTATTCACAATAGCCAAGCTTGGAAACAGCCCACATGCCCCACTACTGATGATGATGATGTGGTGTACCTACACAATGGAGTTTTACTCAGCCATAAAAAAAAAAAATGTTGTTTGCAGGCAAATGGGTGAAACTGGAGAACGACATGTAAAGCAAAGTGAGCCAATCTCAAAAAGTCAAAGATCAAGTGTTTTCCCTCTAGAAGCTAGACCTATAACTTAAATGTATATATAAATACATATATGATCATATATACACACATACTTTTTATATAGTGAGAGAACAAGATTAGTGGGTCTGCTACACTGAGAGGTAGGAGAGGGAAAGAAAATGTTAGAGAATGAAGAATACTGAAAGCAGTTCATCTACATATGAATGTAATGTAATGCACCATGAGCTATTGAATATTAGGGGAGCTTGGTGATAGAGAGTAAGTAATGGGGTGGGTTAATTTGATTAAAATACAATTTATACAGGCCTGAAGTACCAAGGTATGATGCCCTTGGACTATCAATATACACTTTGAAAAATGCAGGACAATAGGGTAACACAGGTCTTCTCCAGGAGTGGATACTGCTAGTGGGAGGAGGTGGGCATAAGGAAAGGGTGACTGAGGGTGAATATGGTGGTTGTATTTTGTATTCACATGTGGAAATAGAAGAATGAAACCTTTTGAAACCATTCTAAGACTGGGGGAGGGAGGAGGGAGAACAATAGAGGAGTAAACCTAAGATGTATTGTAAGCACATAATGTAAGTATCACAATGTACCCTGTTGTAAACTATTATATGCTAATAAAAAAGATTTATGTATAGATAAAGAGACCGCATTAGTGGTTGCCAGGGTTTGAGGATAGGGAGGGAGTGGGAGGCAGGTAAATAAAGTCGAGCAGAGGCACCATGAGGACCTTCCAGTATGGACCTGCTCTGTGTCTTGTGTGGACCAACTCTATCCTGGGTGTAGGATCAGGACCTTGTAGTGTAGACCTGCTCTGTATCATGGTGTGTCCATGTCAGGACTCCTGCAGTGTGGAGCTCCTCTTGTATCTTGGGTATTAGGATCAAGACCCTTGTGGTGTAGACCTCCTCTGTACCCTGGTGTGTCAGGGTCAGAACCCTTGCAGTGTAGACCTGCTCTGTATCCTGGCGTGTCAGTGTTAGGTTCTTGCAGTGTAGATCTCTCTGTACCCTGGTGTGTCAGTGTTAGGTTCTTGCAGTGTAGACCTGCTCTGTACCCTGGGGGGTCAGGGTCAGAACCCTTGCAGTGTAGACCTGCTCTGTATCCTGGTGTATCCATGTCACTTTCTTGGTTGTGACCTTGAAGTACAGAAAGACCCAGTTTACAGTGGTTTAATCTACAATTTTTTGACTTGACAATGGTGCAAGATGATATGATATGCATTCTAACCATAGTTTGAGTTTGGAATTGGCTCTTTTAGGGCTAGCAGTACATGGTGCTGAGCTGCAGGAGCAGCAGTGAGCCAAGGCTCCCAGTCAGCCAAGTGATCCTGAGGTGAACACAGTCCAGCGTGCACTGTGTTGCTGAGGTTTGAGGTCTGCAGAGTACATGTATTAAGAACACCTTCAGCTGCCATGGCCATCAGCTGTTACTCCTTCAGGGCCCTCTGTGTATTATGCTGTAGTTTGCAAGATGTTGCCATTGGAGAAGACTGCTTGAAAGCTCTGTGACATCTCCATTTCTTACAGTTCCATGTGACTATGTAGTTGCCTCAAAATTTAAAAATTATTGCACTTTTTTAAAACCGGCGGGACATAACTAAAGCAGTGGTAAAGGAAAGTTTATAGCTTTAACTGCATGTATTTGAGGAGGAAAAAGGGAAAAAACAGAGCAAATTAACCACCCCCAAAAGAAGGCAGAAATTAATGCTATAAAAAACTAAGGACTACAAAGATAAGAAAGATGCTTTAGAAGATAAAATTCCTAAATCTCTCAAGGTAGATCAGGAAAGAAAGGAGTGCTGGTGTTCAGAGAAACCACTGGGTTTCCTTTTTATGTTGATCTGTCTGGAGGTGGAGAACTCTTGCTGCAATCATTAGTGGGTTATGTGGTATTTTGTAGGTCAGAGCATAAAAAATAACAGCATGGTATTTTGCATTTCAACCCATAACTTCTCCTTTACATTGGGCCATATCAACTAGAACTTTTATTCATGGGATGTTGAATTTCAGCAGTGACAGTCAGCAACCTTGGATTATTACTGATTTTTATTTTGCAATGGTGGGGATGGAGCCCAGAGCTTTGTGCTTCCTAAGCAGTCTCTGCCACTTGAGCCATGGCCCAGCCCAAGTTACTGACTTTAAAGTGCTTTTGCTGATTCACCATTCTTCAAGAATGGTAATTATGGTAGGTTTCTGGTAGAGAGTGTATCAAATTAAAAATAGTTCTTCATATTTCTAATTTGCAAAGCATTGTCTTTATCATGTATGGCTGTTAAAATTTCAAAGTGCATTTCAGTATCAATTAGGATGCTTTTTTTCTCTAACTCTTTTTGAATCACTTAAGTAGATTATTAGAAGGTTGTAAAAATTTGTATTTAAGTAACTATCAATTCAGGGTAGAGCAATGTGAAAAATCATTTTAAAACGCCTTTTCTGTTATAGAGAGCTGTCCTCAGAGAAGATGGAGATGACATATCCGTGAGCTCAGCAGTCAGCCACAGGTACAGTCTGAGCAGAAACACATTCTTTTAGCTAGAGGGACTGCAAGTGAAGGGTTCCCTTAGAAACAGGAGTGTTTATTTCATAGTCTGCCCTAGTTGGGCTTAATGGATTTGCTTCTGAATCTAGAGGAGAAAACAAGTCTTGTGGAGTCTGGGAGGTGTTGCCATCCCCTCAGGACTTATCTGGTGGCATTTTAATTTGTTTCAACAAGCAGTCTGTGGGGGTGGGGTGAAGCTGCTGCTGGCATCCAATGGCAGAGGGCAGAGGTGCTATTAAACTTCCTACAGTACTCAAGCTGTCCTGCCCACTGCCCACACACACGCACACATACTCAAAGAACTTTTCAGTGCAAAATATTCTTGAGCTAAAATTTAAAAACAATGCTGATTCTTGTGGAGGCATTCGGCACTTTTTTGACATGGAATTTATTCTCTTGTTCCGTATTTACAAACTAGATGGAACAAAATATGCTATTTTTTTAATTCTGTTTTTTCTTCAGCTTTTTCACTTCTCTTATTACTGAGTATGAAAAACACGTGGACCAGCTAAGTGGACAGGTGAAATACTACCAGGTATGACATTGTAACCGTGAAGCCTTTATCATCTGTTATGAGAATCAGTGAGGAAGAAAAATGTTGCTGTAATTAATCTGTATGTGTGTTCATGTGAGTGTGTGTGTATGTGTGTGCATGTGTACACTTATGTGCTTGTGTGTACATGTATGCATGTGTGTCTATGTGGTTGTTTGTATGTGTCTGTGCATCTGTGCATATCTGTGTTTAAAGACTATCTTTGGATTTTGTGTGTGTGTGTACGTGTCTGTGTGTATGTACATCTGTGCATATGTATGTTTAAAGACTATCTGTGGTTATTGTGGATGTGTGTTTGTGTGTCTGTGCATATGTGTTTTAAGACCATCTTTGGTTTTGATTTTTGGTCCAGTATTTCCTTCTCTTGATACCTGGCGGAAGCTTCTCTGAGGTGCTTAGAGGAATCTCTAAATCTTACCATTATTTGCTTATTTTTTTTTCCTCAAAACTGTCTCACATCCCTTGAGACCTTCGTCTTCACCCTCATTTTACCTTCATTAATTGTTGTTTGCAGTTTTCCCCCCAGTTTCAGATATTGTCTCTGTCAGATTCCTTTGTCTTGTGTCTCTTAGGTACTACTAATCTAATGTAGGCTTAGGCTCTAGTAGGCTTTTTTCTGAAATCCTTTTAGTAGTGGAATTTATTTCACAAATGAGGGGAATGAGGAAGCTGTCTGTACAGATAGATTCTGAGTCCCGGGACTTCTGAGAGTTCATTCATATACCCTAGAATTGTTGAGATGAGTTTCAATAAACTGTTTTTAGAATGTAGCTAATATTTACATTTTTTCCCTAAATTTTCTATATCTAGGATAACAATACAATGGAAGCATTTCTAAAGAGAATTTGTCTCAAGCTAAGTCCACCGGCTAGTGATGACTGCTTTTTGTTAGACCTTGAATGTACTTACGATTGTATTTGGCTGAGATTCCATTCCCTGGATCAATTTAGTTGTGGTCAGGAGAGCAGGGTAGAGTTAACTTAAAGCAAGTGGAATAAAGTGTAATGACTTCGTATAAAGACAACCCTGACACTGGTTTTCTCAGAATGATGCTTTGGGGGTGGCCAGTGCTAAGCACTTTCTCTTTTCTCCATATGTGGACAAGAGATCCTATGGTGTGCTTTAAAGGGTAGCACCTAGCAGGCTGTCAGACACAGAGAAGTTGCTTAAAGGAACAAAGGTTTATGCTTTTAGAGGTTCCAATCTAAGGTCAGCAGGCTCCATACTTTGGGTCTGGGGCAAGGCAAAATATCATGCCAAGAGGAGCGTGTGGCACAGGAGGCTACTACTCACATCATGGTGTTCAGACATGAGAGAGATGGGGATGGGGAGAACGAGTAAGAGAACCAGGGACCAGGTACAAAATGTTCTCTTCACAAGCATATCTCTAGTGATCTACTTCTGAAAAGCCCTGTAAACTGTGAACTCATCTATAGGTTAATCTGTGGATGGATCAGAGCCCTCCAGATCCACCATCTCTCTAGGCCTCCCTCTGAAAAGCTTCTTAAGCTACGAACTCATCTATAGATTAATCCATCAGTGGGGTCAGAGCCCTCCTAATCCACCACCTCTTAAGGCCTTGCCTCTTGAACACTGCTGCATTAGGGACCAAGCCTTCAGTACATGTTATATAGGGGACATTTTGTGTCTAAACCATAACATGGGTCTTTGAATATCTGATGAGTGATTAAATACTAGGACTTTTGGGAACAAGATAGTTTGAGGTTAACAATCTGTTATTGTTCTGATAATGGGTCGATGTGTAACTTTACTAGGAAAATGCTTATAACTCCCAAGAATAAGTTTAGGCTTTTCCATTGAATTTCACTTCCAAGTGAAATTCTTCTAATATATAAACTGTAGACCCAGCATTTAAAAACAGGCATTACTTAAATTTCTGTTTCTGTTTTATCATTAGCCAATTCTTAATTCAGTTTCTAGTCTGTTAGACTAAAGAGAGGTGGGGAAGGAAAGGTGGAAGGCAGCTCACCATCAGCACAGGCTTTATACGGGAAAGAGTCTCCAGCAAGAGAGCCAGAGCCCACTGCCACGCACAGGCTTGGGGTAGATGTAGGGAAGCTGGTGGAAAAGTACCAGGAAGGTCACTGGATGGGAAGATGTTCTTTGGGTCACTAAAGAATGGTGTTACTAGGAACCAAAGGAGATAGGTAAGTTGTGGTTAGGTCACTCTCCTTGCTCATCTGCCTGTCCATGGCGCTCACCTGGAGATAAAGGTTAATAGCTGTCAATCTTTTGAGGTTGGGTGGGGAGTTTCCAGCAAGCCATCTGCAGGAGGGTGGGGGGTCTGGTCCTAACATGGCTGCCCTTAATATTCACCTTAACTGTCTACTATGGACTTTTTGGCCTACGGCCATTTAAATTTAAGTAAACCACAATAATGTCTTTGCATCTTTTTTAACTGATAATTCTAAAGTTGCAGCGAATTCATTTTCTCTGAATTTCTGTAATGACGTATTTTGATTGTTGTCACATAGAATAGCTAGGTACCTTGAAATTAAACTCTTATAAACATTTTATATTCTCATTCGTGTATATCTTTAATCAGCTGTTTTTCTAAGGTGATTAAATTCTCTTTCCATTTGGCATTCTTATCACCTCAGGGTGATTGCTGAGTTACTTATGAGAAGAAGCTACCATAGAAAGCTCAAGAGTCTTCAATGATAAGAAGAGTTGTTACTTCTTTTAGAGAGGAAAAAAAGATGTTGATACCTACTTCCAAGAATAGTTGCTCTACAAATATTAATTAGTAGAATTGTTACGATTTATTGACTTGATAAAAAAAATAGACTATCTTCAAAGCAGGAAAATTATTGCTGCAATTCTCTATATGAAAGACTTTCTGCCAAAAAATGTAAAAAGCAGGGCAAAGCAGAAGTTTCATTTCCTTCCAGATATCCACATTTGAAATATTTTATAGTAAATAATTTTAATGTGACTGTTACAATCCTAATTTTACTAATGCATATATATCCTATATAATTATTTGACAGTAAAAATATTTTTCAAGATTCACTGACATTTTTATAATTTTTAAAAATAAATTTTTAAAAAAATTAGAAAATGTGGATAATTGCAGCAATAATATGCACCACCTCAGCACTCAGGCATTCAGGATCCCCCAGCTACCTTTTCTGACATTGCCTCCAGTACCACCGTGTCATGGATGGTTAGTGCCCAGTTGTCTGGGCGCAGATTAATTCATTCTGATTTGGTTGTGATTCAGGCATAGTAGAGCCCTGGGAAGAATTCCACTTTGATGACAGCTGTGTGGTGGGAACTGGCTGTTACTCATTTGCTAGGCCAGCCTGTGTGTGCTCTGGTTGAAAGGTAGGAAAGACCTGGAGAACTGCCTGCTCATGCCTCCCTTGCCAAGGCTCCTCCAGGCAAGTAGTGTTAGGAGCTGACTGCTCTCTTGTTCTAAGTGTAATTTCTCATGACCTCCTTCTTGTTCCCACTCACCCACCTACCTTGTTGAGAACAGACTGCTTATTTTTTGCCTTTTCTTTTATTTGTATTTCTCCTTGCTTGACATGTTCTTTTTCCTTTTGAAGTCCCAGTAATCCCTATATTTCCTTAAAGGAAACCTAATGAAGCCTTCATCTCATTCCCTCTCAGTGGGCACTGTACTCTATCATGTTTTAGTCACTGTGCCAAGTATGTCACTGACCATGGCTGTCTGCCATCACAGCCCTCTACAGTACAGAGTGTAGTAGATGGTCAGTAAAGGTGAACAGAAGACCAAGTGAATGACTGCTGAAGAAGACATCTCTCTCTCTCTCTCCATTAACATTTTGCCTATAAAGTCCTGGAAAAATGCACACACTTATTAGGGGCTTCACCTAACTTGAGGTTAAGATACTCATTCAAGATACAGGAATCACCTGGTGTTTGTTATAATATGCCGAGGTATAGCTTTCATTTGCTTGTCTAGCTACATATCATAGGAATTATTTTTATAAATAGTTCTCACTGTTTTACATACAACATTTTTTATTTTATGCGTAGTCTATTTAAAATGAACATTTTGCTGTGTCCCATGTATTATTAAACTTACCATATTTAACATTGCTTATTTGGAGTAATAAATAAGTCTTTCTTATCCATAGATTAATGTTGTAAAGTCTGACTGCTTGTGTACAAAGGGATATTTAATGCAGATCTAATCTTGTTGAAAATGTGTTGCTAGTACTGAATTTTATTCTTTCAGCAACGGATGGGTGAGATGAAATTACAGCTTGAAAATGTCATCAAGGAAAATGAAAGGTAAATCAGATAGAGATTGGTTCTTTCCTTTCTTGTGGTTTCAGGTAACTTTTGTTTTGTTGATACATACAGTGTACTGGCACGAGTGTGGACTCTGGGGCCTGATGTTCATTCTGTTTGACTCCTGGAAAGAAGTCATGAAGCTTCTTTCTTCTTTCATCTCCTGCTCTGTGAGCTTGAGATGATGTCAGAGCCTTTGTCATAGCATAGGACTGACCGTGCATATTAGATGTTAGGGAACATCAGGGCAGATGGAATCTGACAGCCTCCCACCAGATGAAACACTGCAGAGTCACAGGCCTGGTCCATCTATCCTGTACTCCTCCCGCTCGCATCCTCTTCCATCTGCCAAAGGTGAGCACTCCTCAATCCCGTGTTCATAACACACTTGCTTTTAAATTTATAAGTATGTGCATCTTTAGATGATATATTGCGTAGTTTTTCATTTTTAAAAGCTACATAAAAATCATATCGTCTAGTATTCTGAGACTTTTTACTGAATATTATGCATAGGTACAAAATTTCAAGGGATGAAATTGCAGGGTCCTAGGTTACCTGAGTGTTCAACTTTGCAATAAAATGTCATCTTAAACTCCAGGGTGGCTGTACTAGTTGACACTCTTACCAGCGACATTCAAGAGTTCATTGCTTTTACCAGCACTAGCTCTTACCAGGCTTCCTAGTTTTGTCATTTTGGCTGCTAAGTGGGTTCTTTGTTTTGTGTTTACTGTAACTCACATTGTTTTTGTTTTCTGGTTGTGTGGATGAACCCCGGACCTTGCAGATGCTGGCAGGTCACTTCCTCTGAGCTACAACCCCAGGGCCTACATTGTCCAAACTCTGTGTAATGGTGACCATTTAGTTTGCTCCTCTATGTTACGTAGTAGCTTGCATTTTATTTTATTATGTTTATTATAGTGTAGCTATATTTAAATTAATACATACTGGTCTGTACAATTATATAGCACTCCTGTGGAGTCTTGCCTTTATGTCATTTTCTCTCTCTCTTTGTTAGCTTAGACTAATTGTACCAAAGGGTTTCACTGTGGTACTGTCAAACATGCAAATACTGCATTTTGAGCAACCTTACATCCTAGTACTATCCCCTCACTTTAAAAGCAAGTTTTAACCTTTTTACTAGTTCTCTTCCCTTCCAATATCTGTTAACTTCATACATTTAGGCTACTGATGTTTGGTAAGTGCAAAATTAAGTAAATCTTTGAATTATTTCTTTTTTCACTCGTGTCTTCCCTCCACCCACCATGAGGAAGGAAGATTTTCTAGCCTTAATTTTTTTATGGCTTACTGTTCTTTCTCAAAATAATTATTAGACTTCCTAGTAAAAAATGCTGTGAATTCCTGAGTCACCAGTACATTAAGAGCAAGCTTGGATTTTAGTGTACCAGGAGATAAGATATTTTATGGTTTCAGAAGACATTCAGGTCTTTTTCAGGCAGTCTTTAAAATCTGTTCTTATTTCACTGTGATGCAGTTGGGCTGAAGACAACTACAGTAAAAAATGAGAGGGGAGCCAGAGCCACCAGAAAGAGAGAAAGAGGACCATTTAGAAAAGTCTAACATCGTTACTAGGCCTCAGAATACACTCTGCTTTCATCTCTGGGAAGAGCTCACCTATGGCATAAAAAGAACAAGTGGCTGAAGACTGGAAATAGCCTCTAGTGTTCAAGTCATGAGACCACAGATTGACCTTTAGTACAGCTATGCTTGACAGTTCTAGGAAGTAAGATCCAATGCTGAAAGTTTTGATAAAACAACTAGAATTAAAAACAATGTATTGACAGGAGTGAGACATAACTAAAGAGAGAATCAACAGTATGCAACAAAATCAGAGTGAAAAGGGGAGAGAAGAGCCAAAACTACATAGTTGCCTGAACAATGTGAGTTTGAACCATATGAATCTACTTATAGAAGATTTATTTTCCTTTTCTGAGATTTCCAACAGTTTTAAATAACTCACAAACTACATAGCCTAGAAATATATGTATATCAAAAAATGTATGTCACAAACGCATAAAATATATATAAAGTAGTCTGTGTTGCCATTTACTACATAAATACACACAAATCCATCACAGAAAGTTAAAACCACACCACATGGCATTGATACTCAAGCCAGCAGCATCTGAGCTCAGGCCACACTGCAGCTAACACTAGAGTGATTTATGTGGTTACCATCCACTGTGTGGTATGGGTCCTGGTGCATGTCAGCACCATGTGGTTCATACTGTTGGTCTCTCCAGTAAGTTGCCTTTTGCAGTAAAATGACTGCTCGTGGTTTTCATGAATGCTGCACTGTATATAATATATGCAGTATACAAAATGTGAGTTCACCAAGTGTCTGTGTTTCAATAGGTATCAACAGAAGGCTTTTACTTAAGATTTTCAGCTCTTTGGGGTTGAATCTCATATTCCTAGGTTGTTTAAGGGTAACTGTGATTTCATTCCCACACAAAACAGAGTAAGATAGAAGTAGTATTTGAAGGGGTAAGGACTGAGAATTTTTCAAGACTGACAAAAGATCCACAGGTTGAAGAAAGAACTGAGCATCAGCAAGATAATACCAAGCACCATCTCTGGTTGCCTAATTAGAGATCAAATACAGAACCACAGAGATGCTCAGGACAGATTATCCGCAAAGGAGCACCAGTAAATGAATGACCTCTCAATAGAAATGATGGGATCTCTTCAGAGTGCTGGGGAACTGTCAGCTTAGACTCTATGTCCAGTGCAGTAACCCTCAGAAGGAGTGTCTGATGTATATCTTCAGATGAAAGGAACTGAAAAGGTTATCTTTGGAATATTAATACAAATCCCAAAGTGGTCTTCCTAAAAACAGAGGGAAAAGAATCGCTGGCTCCAGCTTGGAACTACAGGGTAAATACAGCAGAGCATCTGGTGACCATCTACTGTTCTAAACAACAGTAATAATGTCTCTCGGGTATTAAAACACAAGCCAGCAATATCACCAATTCAGAAAAATGTCCATGGCAGGTCTGGTACTCCCAATTCTGACATTGCAGTCCGGTGATCTCGGGGTGGGCTCCGGCAGTAAGATATGCCACAGCCAAGCTGATGGGGTGGGAAGTAGAACGATCAGAAGTTATTTAAAGAAAGGAAGAAAAGGTGGAAAAGCCAGGGCAAGCAGAAAGCAAATACAGTGGATAGAATCCCAAATGCATTACTTAATTGCATTAAATTTTGATGTAATACATGCTACAATAATGATTTATTAAGAGAAAATTGTATGAAAGAGATTCCAGTTATGTACTTCTAACTAGAGATTCCTAAAATATAAGAATATAGAATGAGTGAAAATGAAAGGATCTAAAATAGATATAAACCAAAAGAAAATTGGTAATGTCAGACATAGTAAGAGTTTAGTGCAGAACACCATACATCATAACCAGGTTAGAAATAGAAAGGGATATTTCATAATGATTAAAAATTCAGTTTGCCCTAAAAATGACAATTCTCAACTTATAAACATGCAATAACTAAACCTCAAGATAGAAAGATGTGACATCACTGAGCGGCTATCAAAATGGACATGCCTACAATGGTGGTAAGAAAAATGAGCAAGTTGCTCTTGAGTAATTGAAGTAATGACCGGAAAAAAAAAGTCTGTGTAATATTTGAACAGTGCAGTTAACAAATGTACTTAAGGCATATATTTAGAACACTAATACCCAACAGCTTCATGATGCACCTTCTTTTTAATTACACATGAAATATTTCCAAAATTGACCAATTTAAGACAGCATCTCTCAGCAATTTTAAAGGATTGAATTTATTCAGGTTATGTTCTTTAATTAGTGTAAATTATGGTAGAAATCAGTAACAGAAAAGGTCACAGAAATTCCCAGCTGTTTCTAAAGGAAGTAGTGTGCTTCTAAACTGCTCAGAAGTGAAAGGATTCACAATTAGAAAATATTTTAACTAGCCCAGTGGCGTGCACACCTGTAGTCTTAGTTACTCTGGAGACAGAGATCAGGAGGATTAAAGTTTGAGGCCAGCACAGGCAAATAGTTTGCAAGACTCTATCTAAAAAATACCCACACAAAACAGGGCTGGTAGAGTGGCTCAAGTGGTAGAGCACCTGTCTAGCAAGTGTAAGGCCCTGAGTTCAAACCCCAGTATAGCCAAAAAAACAAAAAAAGATGAGAAAAGAAATATTTTAACTGGCTGATAATGAAAATAACACTGAAACTTGTGGGCTGCAACTAAAGCCATTCTGAGAAGGCAGTCTATAACCCTAAGTGTGCATGTTTAAAGGAAGTCTAGAGCCAGCGTATGACTGATAGTAGAGTGCTTGCCTAGCATTCCTGTAGACCTGGCTTCATCCCCAGCACTGAAAGGAAAAGAAAGTTATTGGTGACACTCTTAACAGCACACTGAACCCCAAATTTTGGGTCATGGAAATGAGTGCATATTGGACAGTCAGCATGTCCATGGAGACAGCACTCCAACCCCCAACTCCAGGGCTTCAGGTGGCCTGTGCGTTGTCCTGGGCTCTACCACAGGGCAGGACCACAAGGCACCGCCACAGCTGAAACTGTGAAACTGGAGGTTCACCTTAGTAATGACCTTGGGAACAATTCCTTAATTCTCAATGTCTAAATGTTTTAAGTAACGGTGTGCTTCCCAATTCAGTTTGCTATTGATTTTAAATGATTAGAGAGTGGATAGGTTATGATGCACGTAAGTGCGTGTCATTAAAGTGTTCACAGAGAACTATAATAGAGGACATACCTGCTTTCATACCGTAGTTAAGGGCTCATGGTATCACAGCAGCACTGTGACAGATGTGTCACTTTAGTGCAGAGTTAACAATTCTGCCAGAAAATACATCACCACACTAATTTCTCTCTGGGACTTGGCCTTTCTTTAATATTGCTGGATTTCTGAATTGGTCAGAAATGTAAACATTTTAAAGTACTGTTAGATGCTTAAAAATAAAAACACCTGGGCACAGTGGCAGGCCTGTTTCCCAGCTGCTCCAAACATAGCGATCAGAGGATCACAGTTCAGGGCCAGCCTGGGCAAAAATTAGCAAGACACCATTCTGAACAAACAAACTGGACCTGGTGGTATATTGCTATAATCCCAGCTACTCAGGAGGTATAAGTGGGAAGGGTCAGTTCAAGGCCAGCCCTAGGGGAAAAATAACTTTTAAAAGTCTGGAGCATGGCTCACGTGGTAGAGCACCAGCCTAGGAAGCCTGTGGCCCTGAGTTCAATCCCAGTACCACCTATAAAATAGAAATTAAAATAATAAAAATAAATTAAAAGACACTTCTATTTTTAATTAGAAAATAATTAACAAGCTCTGTTCTTTACTAGAGAGAGGTGTTTTCTCATTTCTAGAGTAGTTACTTCCTTAGTTTGTTGTATTTGATAAACTGTTTTTTATAGGTGTGTTCTGAAAATCGAGGTTGAATTTTTCTAATCCAAGGAGGATTTACCATATCAGTAGACAGTGCTCCTCTGGATGTTTTAGGTGACTGGAAGTGTTTCAGTTCTACACATCTTCTTTCAGGTTGTACCATCCTGTTTGGAGAGGGGAGGCGGCACTTGTCTTAAACTGAAATATCTGTAGTTTGCTTGAATGTTAAGATTAAAGGCTTTCCAAATATTATGGTCAGACTTTTGTGGAGCTGTCCTGAAGAAGGAATTTCTAATAGTCTTGGTTTCATAACCAGCGACAGCTTTGTTCTTCTCTGCTTACTTGAAACTACTCAGAATTGAAGTAAGGTGTGGAACACTGGAGAAGATGACAGGTAGTGCTACTAAATATAAGGTGCTATTCTTATTAAATTGAGTGGATGAAACTGTTAGCATTTACTTTTTTATGAATGACATGTTTTTATTACTCAATATGGCGTCACATTGGGATTTTTTTTTTTTTTTTTTTTGCAGTACTGAGGTTTGAACTCAAGGTCTGCCACTTGCCACACAGGCACTCTACCACTTGATCCATTCCAGCTCTCTTTGCTTTTAGGCATTTTTGTAATAGGGTCTTGCTCTTATGCCCAGTCAGCCTGGACTACAATCTTCTTGTTTGTGCTTTCTACACATCTGAGATAACAGGTGTGTGCGACCGTGTCCTGCTTTTGGTTGAGTTGGGATCGCTCAGACTTTTTCCCTGGACTGGCTCACCATGGTCTTCCTGATCTATACCTCCCGGTCAGCTGGGATAACAGGTGTGAGTCACTGTGCCCAGCTGTCACAGGCTGAGATGGAGTCTCTCCACCTTCTCCAGTCTCCACGCCTGTATAGCTAGGATTACAGCTGTGAGCCACAGAGCCCAGCTAGGCACAGTTTTCTGCTGCATCACATATCAGTTTGTCTCCCTAAGAGATTCTGAAGCTCCTTGGGTTGAATGAAGGCTCTGGGGTTTTTTATGTTGTTTTGTCTTGCCTTGTCCTATTAGAAAGGATTTGTGTATATTGATGGCTGCATTCCTGGTCATGCGTGCTTTTTCACTGAGCCCAGCTGTGATTTTACCTGTCTGAAAAGTTAAATTCTGTCTAGGACAAACTAACTTTGCTTGAATGAATTATTATCGAAAATAAATAACAATTACTATCAAATAACAAATGCATTCATGGTTGTTCTTTTTATTCACATAGCACATTCATTTTTTTTTGACATTTACTTAGAAATCATTTTATGTAAAGCACTATTTCTGATTCCAGTGTTTATTTAATTGACTCCCAAACCATACTGTGGTTACTGTTTAAATTACTGTTTCCTTAACTGCTGTCACCCAGGCTGCATGGGGAGCTGAAAGATGCCATTGAGAAGCAGCTGGACACTTTGCCCTTGGGCTCGGAGCTGTGCGGCGAGCTGTGCGCAGACCAGGAGACCATCAAGAACCTCCGGGAGCAGCTGCACATCGCCAACGAAGTGAGTGTCGTGTAAGGTTTGGAAGCTGTTAAGAGTAAGAGGGTCATCAGCACTCCATTTTCTGAGAGGTACAAGAATCATTGTCCTTAAACAGCTGCCACAAAAGTCTCAAGTGAAGCACAGTTGCTGATGACGTTCGTCCTTTAAGAATATTTTAATGTCAAAGGAGTTTTTAAAGAAAAAAATCATCAGTGATCACTTCCTTAATTTTTGTTTTTTCATTTTTTTATGTTTTCTTCTGACACTCTTTTCCTCAACTTTCAAAGGTTATAATATTATATTTTTTTAAAGTTTTATTTCTAAAATGATTCTTCTCTTTTTTCCTTCACTCATAGTGACCAGAGTCTTCAGGAAGCCGTGTTCTGTGTGTCCTGTATCTCCATGTATGTTCTTTATTCAGTGCTGTGACTGTGACTGTGTGTGTGTGTGTGTGTGTTTACACACAGGGAATTTTATTTTGCATTGCAGTTTTATATCCCATGTATCTCATATTTTGTATGGGTTTGAGTCTCCGTCTATCCTTCTGTTTTCTAGCTTTGTGACTATGGGAAAAAAATCTTTGTGCCTCTGTTCCTCATTTATAAATAGGGCTAGAGATGGTGGATTACAATGCTGGTTTTACAATTATCTGTGAAAAGTTCCAGCTTTATTCTTTGTTAGTTTGGTTTTGGAATTCTTTTGAAAGTGATATTTTGGTAAGTCAGAAAGGCTGTGTCCCTCTCAATAAGGAACACGTGTTAAATATTGAACTTCTTCAGAGGTGTAATTGAGGAAAGCAATGCTCTTCTTTCTGTACTAAGAGGGATTATCGTTGCTTATTCTAAGTGATTGGAAATTAATTTAGACTTATAAATGCCTTCTGACCAGATAGCATCTTTTAAAGCTATGGTGCAACACACTTTTCTAATTATTTCTGAAATATTAAGAAATCCATAAAACAATAATGTCTGACCATTATGAGATGACATTGGTGGTGCTGGTCCTTTGGGGACCACTGCTGTAAAGAAAGAGTTTGTAACTCCTGGTTCCAGTGGTTCTTATCATCATGTGGGTCTAGGGGACTGTGGGGACTTCTGAAGAAAGTTTTAGGACCCCAGTCATTGAGAAAATGAAGCTCCACATTCTCTGTAAGTTTTAGGCAGAACTAACCTATGAAGAAGGTTCCAAGATGGTGGTTGTTGGGGGTTGGGAGCCTAATTACAAAAGGCCACAAGAGGCGCATCCTTCTTGGTGATGGTAATAATGCTCTCTCTCATAGTACATGCTGGTCACGTGAGTCTTCCACCTCATAAAAATGCGTGATATGTGTGCTTTCTGAATAAGTTATATACTTCAGTAAGTTTTATTCTACATATGTACTCATCTAAAAGTGGGTATCATTTGAGTACACGTCTTACAAAACTATAAATAGGTGGATTAGCTGCCTCACTGGTTTCAGGACACTTAAAAAAAATTTTAGGACCCCAAAGCTTTTTATGACAGGTTGTGCATCTCAATATTTATAATATTACAAATTAACAGAGACTCTTGGTGGGGGCAGTACTGGGGTTTGAACTCTGGGCTTTGCACTTGCAAGGCACGCACTCTACTGCTTAAGCTGTGCCTCCAGCCCCAGGCTCTTTTTTGTTTTTAATACAACACATAGTAACATTTGCACATAGTCCATTAACTCTCAACAATGATGACATCACATCCTATCAACTTTAGAAAATTCCACTCTGAGAGGACAAAAGGCGAACAGCATCTTGGTGTTATTATGAAAACTGCGCCCTAAAGGTCTTCCGAGATCCCTGGGAACACCAAGAGTTCCCATACCACACTTCAATAATGCTGTTGAGAAAATAGTGTATGACTTGAGAAGAGTCTCCTCATAGAATGTCAAGTATAAGCAGTACATTACATGACTCCTAGTTTGTTAAGAGGAAAAAATTATATTCTACCCAGAATCACACCTACAAAAATTTATAAACACGAACAGAATCAATCTTTATGGTTATACCATGTAGTAGCAATATTTATTATCAGGTGCTAAAATTATAAGTGGTTCTTATTTTCTCCTCTGTTTTTCTATATTTTTCCTAATTTTCTACAATGAGCACTTAATACTTTTACAATCAGGAAGAAAATACCATACTTTTCCAGGAGGACTATTTCTAATGCTTGTACTTTTTTGTGGAACAAGTAGAGTATTTTGATCTGTGTCTCTGATGAGTCTGCTCTTAATTTTAACTGTGAAATCTAAGTAAAAAGACAATTTCAAAGTAAGAAAATTTTCTTTGGATTTATTATCTAAGTTGTTACTAATATAACTTTTGTAGTCAGTGAAGACTGGACATGTGGCAACCATGTCGCTGGTGATGATGTAGCTGTGAGAAATTGCTCAGGACGTATTCCCATCATGTACCACGATTGCATTAGCTCAGTATTTACTTTGTAATTCTTTCATAAAGGAATGTGATCTGTTTGCTTTATGTGTTGAGTAGCGCCTCAGCCAGTGTTCTTGTTTGGTAGGAGAAAGCTTGGGCTGTGGAACTCTGGCAGACAGTTTCTCGGGAGTTCAGTGCCCTGCAGAGACGTCACCAGGAGCAGACGACCAAGGCCTACATCCACATAGCTGAAAGCCAGAAGCAAAAGGTAATCTTGAGTTGAAGATTTTGTTGTACATCAGTAAGTACTACATTCCGAAGAAGCTGCTTCTTCTTTAGGAGAAATGCCTAAGATTATTGTGGTTTTAAAGTTAATAGTCAGTAGATCTCAGGTACGCAGAAATCTCTCAAACAGGTGAGACCACTAGTGCACATTTCACTTACAGTGGGGTAGCAGGAACTGTTGGATTTCATTCTGTGAAAAGCAGTGGGACAATTTTGCATAAATGGACCTCTGTACTTTTGTTTGACTGATTTTCCTACCTGTTTTGAAACCAAACTATTCAGCAAATTATGGCAGTGAATAAACTTGCTGAAATACAGTGACAACATGTTGAAAATAAAATGTTTGTGTTCTTACATGTGGCCTATTAATAAAATAGATGTCCAGTTTGTCTAGTGTAAATTAATTACAGTAGAATATTACCATTGGAAGGGCTCTGAAAGGTTATGGATGACATCTTTCTATCCAAAGTGAGAGTCCTTTTACATTCTTTCAAAGTGAACACCTACCTAGCTTTTGCTTTACACTTCTATTAACAAGAACTTCTTGCCTCAGAAAATATCCCTTCCATTGAGAAAGTTGTGGTCTTTATTCTTCTGTTGGTTCTTTCACTGCTAAGTGCCTTGATTTCTATGGACACATTCTCATTCTGACCCCTTCTCTGTGTATCTTAGCTATTCACTTGAGCCTTTTATCATAACTATCTTTCGTTCTCATTAATAGACTTCAAGTTCCAGTTATGAGTAGTCCTGTTATTAGCCCTACCTGAGGAAGTGAGGAAGATTCATGAATGGTGCTTTATAGTTTACATAACTATTTTTCTATGCATGCCCTGGTTTGATACCACTCCCATGCGAGCTGATGACAGAACTTTTACCTCTGAGACACAGAAAATATTTTTAAGGAAAGTAATTTCTTCAGGGTGTTTCCTCCTTTAGCTCAATCAACCAAACCCATGAGTTCTTTCATTTTTCATTTTTACTTTTTTTTTTTTTTTCACATGAATATGACCATTCTTGTACTGTGGCTATGCCGTTAGATATATGATTTTACAAACAAGACCTCATCATTATTTCCCATTCTTTCATTATGTTATCCAACATATTAACAGCCTCTCACAACTTTGTGTTATTTGCACAAATAATGTTTCATAGGATCACAACAGCTAATTAAAAAATTTTAATCTTGTGGGGCATAAGAATTCTTTAAAAAGTTGGTTAGTAACTCTGTGCCAGTTTATTTTGTATGTTTTAAATAGGTTTGGATGTGGTTTTCTAATACTAGACAAGGTCTCTGTAGCATTTCAAATTGTCAATCATAATTTTTTATAATATTTGTCTTTGAGTTTAAAAATAGTATTTCCTAATAGAATGAGTTCTATAAATTGTGATTTTACATAAACAATATCTATATTAGTGTCAACATTGTCTCATTTAATTTTGCAATCATTTAAAAATGTTTACTTATTTCTTTGACTGTCAGTTCACACCATAGAAGAAATGTGGCTGGTGGTATCTAAACTTAGACACAATGATTTTAGACTTTCAATATGGGTTGCAAACCAAGCACTGTTAATGTAGTCCATATACTACTCCTACTTTCCCACTAGGATCAGCTGAACAGTTTTCAACAAGTGATGAAGAAACTGCATGTTACTAATGAGAACACAGAAATAGGAAGAGAAAATAACCATTTACTCCAGTCATTTATATAAACTAGAAGTTGTCACTACAAATATTTATTTATACTAATTTAAATCAACAATAGCAAAGCATGTTGTATGAAATTAAAATATGTAAGCAGTTCTCTGTCTCTTATCTTCTTCTTACACATCCAGTAACATGAAATAGTTCACAGTACCATTTTGAGATCTAACCAACATATATCTGAAGTACACCTAATGCGAAAACCCTTTTACAACCCTACCAAGACCCAAGAGTAAGCTAGACCTTGAGCTCCGGAGTGGAGCCCACACCTGTTTTTTGTGTGGTCTAGCACTCAGCCACGTGTATGATAAAAGGAGTGGAACTCTTTATGGACTGAATGAATTGCTTATCTTCTAAAAATTATTAGGAAACTAAGGGCCAGTTTGTTGAGTACTGCATTTGACATCTCAGTTTTCCCTATAACTTCTAAACACAAATACAGTTAGCCCTTCCAGCTCTATTTTGACCTTTTTAAATCACTTTCCTTTTGTCTTCTTTACATTGTTGGAATTTTGGTTTTACTCTTTGTTGAGTAGTAGGATTGTGACACCCCTCACCATTCTTCATTCTCACTTAGTTACTCTGCTAACTCTTACTAGTTCCTAAAAAAATGTATTTGTTTAACAGTGGAGTTGTGTCATCAAAAGTAAGTTATCTAATTTTTTTTCTCCTTTGAGCACATATAAAAATATTAAATGTCTCTCTGTTAACATTTGGAATTTCTAATCACTTTCACTTACAGTTTTTGACAATGTACTTCTTAAAAAGAGTTTTAAAATACTAGTAAAGTGCTCCAGAAACAAAGTGACTACTGATTTCTGTAATTAAGAATGGTATTTTTAATAATAAATTTCTACATGGAATGAATAGTTTAACCTAATATCACAGTTACCTATGATTTCTCTCAGTACATCTCTTATAACTGTGTGAATTATATAACCCTTGGTGTCATACTACAGACACCCTATTTTATTATTAACATTCACAAATGATGTCAATGAAAATCATGGGAAAAGGATGTTTGAATATTCACAGGGCATACATTTCAAATTTCAGAATTCTAAGAAGAGTTCATAGTGGCAGGCTAAAGCTAAGAGTAAGAAGCAAAGACGATGACTGAGTGGCACAGTGAATGACAAATGTTATAGAAAGCAGAGAATGACTGCTTGTGGAGCTCAGTGATAGAGCTCTTGCTTTGCATGTACAAGGCCTGGGTTCAGTCCCCACTGCCAAAACCAAAAAGTCAAAGCAAAGACTGTCCATGTGGCTAGAGGAAGAGAAAATAGTTATCAACAGAGACTCAGTGTAAGGGAACAGCCTAAGTGATTGCGAGCTCCGTGCACCTAGATTGCACCCAGAGTACAGGCTGGGAGCTTGTTGGGTCAAGTTCAGACTTAAGATGCAAGAGGTTTCCATTGATGGGCTTCTGATTCCGTGAGTAAACTTATCAGGTGAGCAGATTTCTATGTGTGTACAGTAAAGTAATGACCATGAGATGAGTAAGGAAAATAGATTTTAGTGTGACTTGAATAAGATGGCAGATTAGGAAGAATGGTTCCCTTCTCCCCACAAACACACTGATTAAGCAACAACTCATGGATGAGTCCTTTCATGAGAAATCAGAAGCTAATTGAGAAGTCCCTGCATCTGAGAAGAATGAGACACCAGCCTCACTGAAGCCAGAGGAGTAATTGGGGCAGCGTCTCACTGGAGATTCCATTCCACTGCAGCACTTAGGATGAAAAGGGTTCCCTGAGTCCCAGCTTCACCCAGAGGATGCAATGGGCTGCTGTGAAGGGGCTCTCCAGAGGCTGGCTTGTGACATCCTAGTCTGGAAACTCTGACACATCAAGCTCAGTCTAGCTGCCCCTGGGAGAATGGAGGTACTGGCTTAGATAGCAGATGTCAGGAATCCTTTGCTAAACTCGATACATAGGAAGAGAAAGAAAAATCAACTCCCAGCTTCACCTAGAGAGGGAAAGAGTTGATCTGTGTGTCCAGCACCCCAGCTTCTCAGAAGTTTTCAAGAAAATTTAGCTGCCTTCGCCAGTCTTGATATTCTGTCTTGTTTAGCACAGTCTAGCCAGCAAGGTGGGAAGGAAGATGGTGGCTTAGACTGATATATGCCACAGCTTCCTGTCCCCAGTTCAGTGCAGAACAAGTGGTCACAAACCATGGCTGGCACCTCTCCTAAGAAGTAGAGTAGAGTTGGTAGCAATCCTCAAAATCATTGGCTGGCCAATTGGGGGGAATGTAGGAGACCAGTCTGTGAAGACTGGGAGGGATACCTGCCTCGCTAATGCATAGATACCAAAAGAGAGTTATAGGAAAATGAAGAACCAGCCAAGAGCTTTCAAACAAAGGAATCATATTAATCTCTAGGAATTAGCCCTAGTGCAAAGAAGTTACAATTTACCTGATGGAGGATATATAAATAACTCTCGTTAGCATGTTCTCAAAGCTGTGTGTGATGGCTCATGCCAGTAATCTCCAGCTGAGGCTCGAGGAGCATTAGTTCAGAGTCCAACCTGGGCTCTATAACAAGTTCTAGGCCAGCCTGTGGCACACAGTTAGACCCTATCTCAAACAAACAAGATACAATGATTGTAAATATATATACACCAAATGTTTGTTCACCCAATTTCATAAAATAGACACTACTAAACATAGACAGTTCCAGATACAATACTAGTGGGAGATTTTAACCCCCATTATCACCCATAAGTAGATAATCCATACAAAAAGTTCACAAAAATACTTAAGAGTGAAATTGCTCCACATGTCAAATGGACCTAACAGACGTCTATAGAATACCCATCCAACAGCTGTGGGGTGCACATTCTTCTCAGCAGCCATGTATCTATAGAACACTTTTTAGGTCTTAAGTAGGGAAAAAGATCATTTCTGTTTCTTATCAGATTATAATGGACTAAAAGTAGGAAGCAACATGAGAGAAAGTGCAAAAATATACAAACTCATGTCAGTTGAACATCATTACACCTTCAGAAGATTAGTGAGTCATTGAAGTAATTGGGAACAAAGTAAAAACCTCCCACTGACTCCTGTCAGTGGGACCAGACAGGTCCACTGCTGAATTTTATCAGACTTTAAAGAACTGACACCACTGATGCTCAGAACCCTTCCACACTCACTTTATAAGGTCAGTGTTAGACCAGAAACCAAATAAGGACATGACAACACCAAAAAAGAAAACTAAACACTGGTTTCCTTGAGGAACATATGCAGAAATCCTCAGTGAAATACTTGTAGACAGAATTCGGCAATGTATTAAAAGGATTCTATACCATGATCGAATTGTTTGCATACCAGAAATGTAAGGATGGTTCAGTGTACACATATCCATAAACATAACAGAGCATATAAATAGGATTAAGGACAAAAAACAGGAGATGCAGAAAAGGCCTCTGACAAAATTGAGCATCTTTTCATGTAAAAACCCTGAAGAAACTAAGGATAGGAAAATCATACCTCACCATAAAGAAGGCTTATGTGACGGATTGAGAGCCAGTACTATACAGAATAAGCTGAAACGTTCATGTCCTGTAAAATCAGGAGTAAGTCCAGAGCGTCCACTCTCACCACTCTTACTCAATATAGTACCTGGATTCTTAGCCAGAGCAATAAGGCAAGAGAAAGAAAGAAAAGTGAGGAAAGGAAGAAGTCAGGTTGTACCATTATTTTGTATAATTAATATATGCAAATGTTACGTGCTGGTGTTGCCGTGTTGCAGGATGGTGTCAAGGGTCCTTGTCTTCACGGTCAGGGAACTGGCTCATGAGGCAGCTGAATGCTGAGCCAAAGCCGGTATAGAAAGTAGGATTTATTGAGAGGAAGGAAAGGCTACAGCTAGAGAAGCGCAGCGGGGCCCGGAAGCTGGTAACTCCCTGCTCAGGTGAAGGCTGGGGCTTTAACTCTGGGTTAGGGTATCAGTTAGGTGGGTTTCTCCTATTGGGCATGTATTTGCATGGCGTCCCCTTAGATGAGTTGGTCTGTTTGCCCCTTATTGGGGGGGAAAACAACACTGGGAGAATTTTGTTTTATCAGTCCTGTGGCAGATTTGTGGGACCCTGTATCTCCTTCAGGGTACAGGAGTGCAGGTTTATAACTCCCTTCTCAGGGTGCAGGGCTCGTGGGGCTCTCCATGGGGGATGGGCTACTTGTCTGCCTTAGGTATTCAGACCCAACACTAATGAAAATAACAAAATAAAACCCCAAAGAAAATCTAGCAAGTTAATCAGGTGTGTAGTCACATTCCTGTAATCCCAGGTCTTGGGAGGCAGAGGCAAGAGTCAGCCTGAGCTGTACAGCAAGACCCTGTTTCTAAAAAACAAAACAAATCAAGACTATTAGCCCAATAGCTGAAATTTAATCCCATGAAGAGAGGTCCAATAGTCTTGCAGAACAAAGGTGTTTGCCTTATTTGTGTACCAGTTCCACCAGTTGTAACTGGAAGGACAGAGCATAATCCCACAGCACTTACAGCTTTTTGCACAGGTAGCCAGAGAAATTCGGGTTCAGGTAGTCTGGAATGAAGGAGGGTTCCAATGATGAAGTGAGAAGAGAGGCCAGGTTGTCCTTTGATCCTCAGAGAACATAATCACTGCTGAGACTCTCACTTCATTTCCTTGTACGCACATGCTTGTGGTTAATCTTTAAATTTCCTCATACTGAATACTGTTGTTTTGTTCTTGTGGCAGACTAACCAACACTTTCTGGATGCAGTAACTGAACAAAATGTGGAAATTGAGCAACTCCGAAAACAACTTAGGTATTTTCAAAATTGAGGTTTTTTATTATTTTTATTCGGGGGTACCGATGATGTCATATTTTTTCAATCCTTTTTCCCTCCCTTTTAGTAAGCTTCTTGCAGTATGTTTGGTGTGTTTGATTATCTAGGGCTGGAAGGGCCTGAAATCAAGGCAGTCAGTCAGGCCCAGCTCTAACACGTAAGTAAAGGGCTCTGTCATGATAGAAAAACCAATGGTATGAAAGAAAACAACCTGCTATAAAAATGTTTCAACACTTGTAGATCACTTCCTATCTTTCTCTGGACTTCTGCCTAAGCTGAGCCTGAGAAATGGGTTCCAGGCACATAGAGAGGAGTGGGGAGCTGAGGTGGGAAAGAATGCAGCCTTCACAAATACTCCTGGCTCAAGATGGAGTTGCCCATCGTTAAGTTGAAAATGCTGTGCTAAACATGGGTCAGTTTGTTTATTGAGACACCGCATCTGGAGTATAGGTGTTTGCCTGCGGTCACAAGGCTGGCTGGGAGCTGCCGTGCTGTGTGCTGTGTGGTTCTGGGAGACTTTGACAATGACATTCAAACTTTGGAGAACTATTTCCAGTGAGCCACCTGTAAGGAATTTAAAACTTTCCCAACTGCATACTGTTTGTGTGTGTAGTGGTCCAGGAGAAGCTTAATCATCGTTGCCTTTAGTGGATTTCACAGACAAATCTGCATGTGACAGAATTCTTTTTCATTATCATTTCCCTTAGTCCCAGTACTTAAAATTCAGAAGTGTAGTCTTACAAGGTTTTGCTCTATGACACATTTATTTAAAAATATCATTAAACTATAACAAAAGTAGTTAAGTAAACTTTGCTATGTTGTTATTCTCTTATCACGTACTTTATCCCACAAAATATTTTATGTACTGCTTTTTATATTTTGACTTATCTTCATCAACTTTTTAGTAATTTAAATGGGTTTATTTTCTTTTCCCTAGGCTTTTCTACTATGAGCTCTTATTGATCTTCCTTATTTCTGTGGGTGTTAAGATTTTCCAGCTTAAAATTCCAGTCATTTATGTAATTATAGATCTTATTCCTCCTTTTTCAAGATGGGAGTAAAATTATGACAGTCACATGAAGCTCATTATTTTAAAAAGTCTAGGTAGTATGAAAGCATATCAGATGGCAATGAACTCACACACTGACTGCTCAGAGGTAACATAGACCGCACAGGCTAAGGGCACAGTCAGTCCCTAACGAGGCTTCCTCAGTCAGACTGCCTGGCTGCAACAGTTCTTTAGAGTGGCTTGCAGAACTTGGGAAAGTACTGAAGTGTGATTGTGACTTCAGTCTGGAGGACATAAGTCAGGACCAGCCCAAAGAAGAAGCCTCCCAAATACTGAGTTTCTGTGTTTTCTGCCCGTGGAACTGGGGCATACTCCCTCCTGATTGTCTGTTAAATCACTAGCCACGTTGCTAGGCTCAGTCTCTAACACCCTGCCCTCCCTGGAGGTCAGGTTAGGTGCATGTTGCATGGTTCACAGTCCCACCCTCAGGGCTCATGGTTGGTTTATCCAGCATGGCCTGCCCATACTGAAGGCTCATGGGGACCTGCCAGGAATCAGTCCATTAAGCTCAGGTGTGGACTTGACATGAATAGCAAAAATAGTTTTGCCACTTAGGAAATTCCTGAGGTTTAGAAGCTTCACCCCTGGAACCTGGGATAAAACCTAGACCAATACTTAGACAACTGTACAGTACGAAGAAAATGAAAAGCTCATGATGAAATTAGTATTAACTTTTTAAGTGCATAACTTAGGTTTATGTGTACACTTAAGTATCTTAGTAAAAATGGAGTCATATAAATACTGACAACCTAATTTTTTTTTACTTTTTGGTATATGTATATTAATATTACTTTTGTACAGTGCTGGGGATAGTCCTATTGTTCTTAAATGTTGCATGGCATACTCTTACATAGATGTGCTGTATTTAACACGTGAACTCTCACTTTCTGTCCACTGTCATTCCTGCATTTTCAGTGAAGGAATAACTTTTAAAGGCTGCCTATGCATTGACATTAGAATTAGGACAGTATTAGGGTAGTGTATGTAGCAAACAGTCCTAAATTAGTCTTGGTTATTATTTTATCATTATTGGTAAATAATATTTTAATTACTGATAACCATACAGTTAAAGTGAAACTCTGATTTAGAACATGTAAATAAAGAGTATCATGGTTGAATATTTTCTTAACAATTTTTAAAACTTCCTTTAAAATTATTTATAATAAAAACATCAAATGTTAAAGTGAAAACTGACAGATACAAGGCCTGCCAAATCCAGAACCATTGTAAAGATTTCAGCTCAGCCCCATGTGGTGCTCACACAATAATCCCAGCTACTCAGGAGGCAGAGATTGAGAGGATTCCAGTTTGAGGCTAGCCCAGCAAAAAATTAGTGAGACCTCATCTCAGTCATTAAACTGGAGTAGTGACCATGCCTGTGCTTCCAGCTACAAGGAAGCATACATAGGAGGATCATAGTCTGAGGATGGCCCTGGGCAAAAACATAAAACCCTACTTGAAAAATAACTAAAGCAGAAAAGGGCTGAGGGAGTGGCTCAGGGGTGAGAGTACCTGCCTGACAAATGTGAGGCCCTGAGTTTAAACCCCAGTAGTGCCAAAAAAAAAAAAAAGAAAAAGATTTCAGTTCTCAGCTAGGTGGTAACACATGCCTGTGGTCCCAGCACTCAGGAGGCTAAGGCAGGAAGATAGAGCCTTGTCTACATAGAGATACGCTGCCTCCAAAGATAAACAAACAAAAAAGATAGAGGATTTCAACTCTCAGTAACTGTAAACCCAGTAAACAAAAATGACTAAGAAACAGATGATGTCAATGATGGATTCCGCACTTGCTTTAATGGGTGTTTGTAGAACAGTGTGTGTACTCATTCAGTGATGATTTACTGTGTGCCGGGTTCTGATCTCCATTCACAGGGTACATCAACTTACCATAAAGAACTTTTTCCTTTTGCAATTTACATACTACAGGAATAGGCAATAATAAGCAATATAATACTCAAGTAAAATAAGAAAAGATCAGAGCTACGGAAAAGAAAATGAATCCTAAATATAGTGTAACAAGCATTCCCGGTAAAAGAACTAACTATTGCGAAGGTAGAAATTACAGCAAGGAAGAATAAGGAAGCTAGATGTCTGTGTTACCTATTGCTATGTAACAAACCATTCTACAACTTTGTGACTCAAAACAGTGATCTGTTTACATTATTGTTGGGGTGGGCAACAGAGCAGATATTCTTGTCAGGCCTACTATGCTACTATCTGCTGTGTGCCTCCAGCCATCTGCTAGCAGGATGGTCTAGGAGTCTGTAGTGATGGCCTGTCCGTTTGTCAATTGGCAGAGTTCTCCAGGGTCATGAAAAAACTCCTCCTTTACTTGCATGGTAAGGTTCCCAAGAGGAGAAAGAGAACAAATCCCACTATGGCAAGTACTTGTCAAGACTCTCTTGACTCATGATGGTAATACTCCCTGGCAAGGGACGGCACCTGACAACCCAGATTCAAAGGATGGGAAGATTTCCAGTGCCATGTTGCAAAGGTGTGAGTGTAGAAAGGGAAGAATTTGTGGCCTTCGTTAGAGTTTTTCCTGCTAGTGAACCTAGAATGGAGTGAGCAAGGAGGAGAATAGTAGGAGATGAGGTCAGAGAATTGTGGAGGGTTGTACACAGATGAACTGGAACCTTGTAGGGCATTGCGAGGACTGGACTTTTTACTGTGATGAAATGGAAATTGTTTGTAGTAGATTGAGATACCTAACTTATATTTTATTATTTGTTTTTTGAGACAGGTCATGCTACATAGCCCAGGCTGGCCTCAAACTCGTACTTCAGCTTTGGCCTCCCAAGTGCTAGGATTACAAGCACACACCACCATGCCCAATATCTGACTTATATTTTAATAAGATACATCACTCAAGCTGCCATATGGAAAGCCTACTGTAGAGAGACAAAAATGGAAGCAAAGTGACCATTATTGCAATTATCCAGGCAAAAAATGTCAAGTAGGACATGACTTGGACTGGTGGTAGCTGTGGGAGATGGCGGACTGTGGTTGGATTCTATACATTTGTTAATAGAGCTAATTATAAAAGTGAGTTGAATGCAAATTACACTGCACAAGAGAATGAAACAAACTAAGGTTACTGTCCACAAATCCTTTTTCTTCAGTCCTAAGGCAGAGGATAATTGTTGATTCCTGCATTTTCGTTAGACCTGGTTCAGATAAGAACTTTAGAAACTGGTTTTCTTAAGAGTGGCAGCATGGAATATTATGTATTCATGTGTGAAAATGGAACCATGAGGCCTTTTGAAACTATGGGGGATAAAGAATGATGGAGGGGGTGAGCTCAACCAAGTAACATTGTAAGCCCTTTTGTAAATGCAGCAGTGTACCCCAGACAACAATAAAATGCCAATAATAACAACACAAGAATGGCAGCAGAAGAAATGGAGAGAAAGGGGTTGGAAGCAGCAGCTCCTTGACACCAACTCCACAATAAGGATCATCCTAAAGATGCTCCATACACATACATGTGTGTGCAAAAGAGTTTTAAATTAGGATGTCATAGATATCAGTCTAAGGGCTCAAAACATGCATAGGTCAGCTATTTCTCAAAACTCCAGGAGCATATGGAGACGTGTCCCGTGCTGTTTGTTCAGGAATCATTTGGGGGAGGCCATTGATTGCTGTAGAAAGAGTCAGTGCTAGGAAGTGTTTTGAGTCAGTCTCCAGTAGGACTGTTGCCAGCCGTCCGAATTTCAGCCTTCAGCCAGTCATCCATCAGAGACATAGACTATAAAACATACACAGAATACATACAGTACATACAAAACAAATTTACATTCAGAGGTACTTGTTAGACATTGTCTTTCCTTTTTTAGTAGACTACTCAACTAGAATTCTCTTTCAGGGGCAAGATGGACTTAGCGCTTTTCATTCTTAAGCTGTTCACAAC